GAGATACACGGAATCATTCAAGCGTGAGCGGCCTTCATTGATAGCTCTGGAATTCTTTGTGGACAGTCCCATTTTTTTTTGGACAGCGGTGGCCGATTCCCCAGTGTCTTCTCCCATCGGGGTGTCTTGCGATGTGGATAGTTCAAGCAATATTGTGTTAGTGTGCCTTGTGTCGCTGCTGGTCGGAGAGACAGGTGCGACACGCAGCGAGGTGATCTGTCTCCAACCACTGACAGTCTAGTTGTATAGTTGTTGTGTTGTTAACTTTGTGGAAGGGACTTTACACCTGTACGTCTCGAAAGAAAATCTCTGGATTTGGATTGGCATCTCATTATTCAACAAAAAAGTTTTCCCTGTAGGATCGACGGGTCAACAGTCTCACCTAGTTACCACCTTCTATCGCGATGGTACGGTTCCAGACTGCGAGCTTTTCCCGCTAATTCTAATAATCCAACGTAGGGATCCTATTTTACCTGGCAATCCTTCGTATGTTTGTCCTTTCCCGTAGTCTTCGTTCCCTCTGAGCACGGATCCCAGTGATTTTCATCATCGATGTCGTTCTTCAACGCGCCGCCCGAGTAATTTTCCGTCACTATTCCATGCTTCGCATACTGACCGACTCTTATCCACTCAGCCAGGACTCCAGGATATTGCAGACACGTAAGTAGGTCCGGCCTTCACCCACAAACTTTCGTATTCAATCCCAGGCAGTCCATTACGTGTCTTGCACTCCATCTTCGCTTGTCACTTGGTCACTCATGTTCGTGCCATTGCATCCGAGGAGCAGCCTAGTACAGGAGAAACGAAATCTTCGTTGGTGTTTGCAGGTTTACCGACACAGGGGGGCATGAGCGTAGCGACCATTGTTTAGGATCTGATACCAGAAGAGACGAGATGACGAGAACAACACCATGAGCACTGGATGACAACTCACCACAGTGAGAAATCAAGACGTGTTATGCGATATTTTTAGGACCCGTTCCCAGCGAGCCAACATTTGCGTGAGGTGTATCATGTTCACCAGTTGTTCATCTCCCGCAGGAAAACAATTATACCTGGGTTTCGCACGGAAACAGCGGGCCAACATCTCTGCCCTGACGACATGGTAGGAGGACGAATCAATTCACTGATGACCTGTGTGAAATGGCATGGGATCGACATATAAAGCTGAGCACCCCGCCTTGACAATTGTCCGACTTACTCTGAGACTGATATCGATGGATTATGCAAGTTCTACCAGCTTGAATGACCTTCGACTTGTTTCCATGAGTGTTCACTTGGGGGTATTGCTGCTTCTTTGTTTGTATTTTAATTTTTGTCAGTACGTGGACTGTAAGTGCCCTGATTTCTTGATGGTTTTGAGACCGAACAAGGCATCGGTAGTTGCGTTCTTATCCCTTTTGGTTTGTCCGATCGTCTACCTCCTGCCTGCGAAATTGAACTGCACCACAGATTTACGACACTCTTTGGAAGGCGCTGTATCTCGCCCAGATATAGAGGCACTTTATCAAACCCCATTTTGAGCTCCAAACATGGCAGCACTTTGACCCAGCGTGAGTTCTAGACATAGATTCCCGGAGATGTGTACCTCTTCGCCAATGTTCATTGATACCATTCTGAAAAGTACGGAGTACACTTAAATCTGTTTGCTGAACACTTACAAAACCGATTAGATTGGGCCAGAGATTTTGCAAATTGTAGCCGAATTTTCGCGTTCACCACTAGTGGGTCCTCGTACCGGGACTGGATTAGTTTCCATTGAAGCTTTCCAGTATTTTCAGGCATGGGGATCGGAACCGCCGAGGATAAGCGGCCTTAAATCGGTAGTCCAGGATGTCGGACTGGTCTCCGCCAGTCATACTGTTGATTCGAACATACGCCTTGTACGGCAGATCGAAGAAAATCTTGGGGTTTGGATATTGAGTTTCTGGGGTTATTCTATCTAACAACCCCCCTTGTTGAGAACAACCCGGTTGTTGGGGGTTGTTGGAAAAGATATTCTATCTAAAACCTTTGTGATTTTTAAGCCAAGATCTGATGGTCGCTGATGGCGGGCGTGGCGGGAAGGGGCGGGAAGGGTTCGGGGAATTGCTCGGGTACAAATAATGCAAAAAAATTCACGCACGTTGGAGATCATATAAGCTGACCCTCTAAATTTTACTGGCCCTTCTAATGTCCAGGGGACATGGCATTCGAGGCATTTTACCGTTTGTACATGCCAAACTCCTCAGAAACTCCCAAATGATGATGGAAAATTGGGGGAAAATTGGAGAGGCAGTGTGAAGGTGCTCCGATAGATATGGGCTGGTAGACGCACGTGTATACTCTTCTTTGGACTCCAAATATTGCGAGAACGGCGGAAGCGTCGATTTTCCTGGTCTGATCAATTTTTGTTGGCATCCAAAAATAAAACATATTTTCCAGCAACCCCCGAATAACCTCAACAACCCGTGTTGTTCTTAACAAGGGGGTCGTTAAATAGAATTATCCGAGTTTCTGGGCAGTCATCAACTACCCGGGTCATTCAAGCGTGAATGGCCTTTCCAATCTTTGTCATCCTTTGACTCAGCGGTGGTTGAATGTCCGGTGTGTGGTGTCTCCTGCAATGTCGACAGTTCAACTCATGTTCGGGTTGTGTGGTATTTATCCCTGCTGATCGGAGAAACTGGTAAGATCCGCCTAACTGCTGTCCAGTATCTGACATCGAAATACACACTTCTGACGGAAGGGACTTCATCTGGGCTTTCTGATGCAAGGAGCGCCAAAGGTGTTTCCGGAAGACTTTATCGAGACCTCTATGTCAACACCCGTACTTCCCGTGACAACCGATTCCGTCCTTCCGGTCGAATTCCTCGAATCCACTGCCTTGGAACGACTGTTATATGGCCCCGTTTTTTGCCGTCAAGTCCGGAGCCCAACGCTGTTTACCGAGGATCCGATCGACTGTCTGTTCGAGGGCTGCCATGATCTGTCAATGGTGAAGGACCTCAATGATCCGGCGGATTTTTTCACCGAGGCGGCCGCCATCGCGAGGTCAGTTTTACCGCCGTGGTCTTCCTTACTGGGACTGAAGCGAACCTACTAGAATCCAGGAACTTGAAGAAGAAGCATGGCCGCGAATTGTGCAAGCCAAAGCCTGCGCTACCAAGGCCGCCGCCGAAATGGATGCTAATTAATAGCGTCACCGTATCTCACCTGTTTCTAGTCGACCTCCTGGTTGCACGCCCTCGAGGCCGAATCTCTCGCCTTGTGTCGAAATTGAAGGGGAAGAGTAAAGACATCGTCCGCCGCTTCAACCGTCGAGTTCTCCCTGCCCAAATTTCGTCTTGAACAATATTTAAATAATTGAACCTGAAATTTGTCGAGGAAAATCGGACGCTGCATCATGCCCCAGGGGAAAATATTCATCCACACACCCGCATGTCAAGAGACCCCGGAGTGGTATGTGTATGTCGTTGGCCCATAAAAAGACGTGGTTGCGCGCTCGGTATTCGAAAAGGACTGGGGTTCCGAGTCCGAGTTCCAAATTACGGAGTCGGAGCCCGAGCCAGTGCGAGAATGGTCCGCATTATCGGCGCCTTCATGCGTCGACTAAGCGTGCTCGGGCGTCGAGGGAATCCGGGGCAGGGGCAGGGCCAGGGGGAACCAGCTTAAGCTTCGGATCGTATGTAGCCGCCTGAGGTTCGGGCTTGATGGCGACTGACATCTGATACGAGGGCAATTCGTCGAGTTTCAAGAAAATATATACGAACATCGCGTCCAGGGCAATGGGCATTATAGACATGGTCAATCAAGCCTGGCCCAGGCTTGAGGGACGCCGACACGTCGTGAGGCCTGGCCGCGTCGAATAAAAGGGGGGAATCGTCAAGCATAGTAGTACCTCCCCGGGATTGGGATCGGCCAGGGAGATGAACCGCGAAAACGAATGCGGGGCGTCGGATTGGGGGTGGCAAGCGAGGGCAAGGCGTGAAGCGACGAAGCGGTGGAGGACGAGCGAAAATCCCTGCGGTGCGAAGCGACAGACACTTTGTCGCGGAACATGCGGCTGGGGAGAGCAGAGTTGAAGCGGGGCTAGGCATGGGAGAAGGTTGCTCGCAAGTATGGCATGACGTCGGCGGAGCTGCACTGCGCCAGTCGGCGATTAAGTTATTGCGGGATGACGTCGCCGAGCCGTGGCCGAAAGTCGATTGGGTTTGTCGCAATTTAAGGCTGGTGCGTGTGGGATGGGCGGCGGGACGCAGAACGAAACACAGGTTGGAGACGATGGGGAAGTGCTAGAGTAGAGAGAACGCACGTTCAACCGCCCGGATCCCGCGTCGATTGGCGGGCTGCCATGTTCCGTCCATTTGTTAGTCGGGAATACTAAAGGATGAAGCGTATCATTGACGCGAGAATCAGAGAGGCAGGTCCGTCTTCACCCGCGTCAATGGGGTGTCATGTTGAGTTTTGACGCGAGCGGGGCGATTCGGGTGAACGGTTTCGCGGTGTGGGACTTCATACACTCGATGTGGCGAATGATAGGCTTGAAATGGGTGTTATGAAATGGGTCTGGGTTCGGAGCACGGAAGGGAAAAGCAAGAATACTCTGTCGAGTGTGGGAAAAAAAGGTCGTCATCCAGGCCAACGGGAACGCATCCGATCGTTGCGGGAGCCATCCGGAAATCCCGTGCCCGGCCCACTCTCCACCTCCGCATTACAACATTCGATACCCATCTTCTCGAACTTGGCTCTGACAAGTCCGATTCCGAGATCACATATATTTTCAACCGTGATTTATCTATGCCAACTCACGTCCTTGTAGTCAAGGTTCAAGCCTGGTCGAACAGAGGCAAGTAGGGCCGGTGTAGAGGTAACACATTCTCTTCAAACAACCAATCATCCAGTTTCAGGTGCAAGTGCCCGGGGCCAGGCCGTAACACATTCGGTATCATTTTTTCTTCTTCTGTAACCTTGTCAAAAATCCAAGCCCACTTAGATGACGGTCGAACAAACACAAGTATGGCTTGGTGGTGTAGCGGTAACATGTCCTTTTCAGTTGGATGCTTGACAGAGGTTTGAGAGGAAGTCCTTCGCTCGAATCGGAGTCAGGCCATAGCAAGGTTTGTGGTTTCTTTTCTTTGTTCCTCTGTTTGAAATATCAATCCTATTGGACCACTTCGGGAAAGCAGGATAGGATGCGATGGGACGTCCGCCCCCGATTCTACACTGCGGCCGGACGGGTCGAGAAGAGAAGTGCGTCCAACCTGGGATGAGTACGCCGAGATTTATATAAAGGTGGCAACAGAGTGGTATGGCTCGGAAGCCGAGTCTTGTCTTGGCACGAGCGGTATGTGCGGAGCGGGGCGTATGTTATGCGTCGTCGGCGATGAACGGCTTTGCGTGCTGCGAATAGAATATTATAAAAAGACGTGGTGCGCCCGGGATCGGACTTGGGGGTCAAGTCCGGTTCGAGATTACAGTCGCGAGATGGGAGTAGCGCATTATCGGCGCCTTCACGGGTCGACTACGGATAAGTCCGGGGCAGAGTTCAGTTTCTATCGTAAAGGGAGGAGCGGACCGGGAGGAATGGGCATCCTAACTAGGCAGTTCGTCGACGTCTCAAGGAGATTAGTTGCGTTGAATGCGCATTATCGACACGGTCAATTAAGCAGGCCTGGCCCAGCTTTGAGGGAAGAAAAGGGGGAATAGTACCTCCCCTCGGAGATAGGATCGACAGGGACAAGAGACGGTAGAGCGAAAACGAATGCGGGGCGTCGGATTGGAGGAGGCAAGCGAGGGTGAGGCACGAAGCGACGTCCTGGGGTGAACCAAGTGGCTGCGAAGACGGAACATGCGGCTCCGAAGAGGATAGTTGAAGCGGGGAATGCAGAGTTGAAGCGAGAAAGGGCGTCATATGGTCGGGTGTACCCGGAGCTAGGAAGAAAAATGGGTCGTGTGCTGGTCTCGGCTAACATGGTACGTTCTAGACGCCCTTAGCTGGCGAGTGTGCCTTTTTAACGCCCGTTTCTGTCTCGTCGTATAAAGTGAGGGGCACTGCGGCCACGAGCAACGATCTTCGTGTGATCACAACTCCAATTATGGCAGCTCCACATTCTCTCTCTCTCCCACCAACACCTCTCTCACGTTCTCGAGTCCTGCTCCCTGGAGAGCCGTATACCTCTGCGTCTGCACGCACCTCCAGGACCCGCGTCGACATGGAAGACATGCCCGACGTCGACGAGCAGCAGCTGTCTCCGCCCCCGCCCGATGTCGACCAGCTGGACGTCATTGACACATCCGCCGCGCCCTCCATAGACGCCCCCGCAGAGCCCAAGCCCCAAGAAGAGCCGTACGCCCAGACGCCCCTCGCCCCGATCACCTTCTTGCTCGTCTCTGGCCGCCGGCGGACCATGTCCTTCGACCCTGCAGCGACCATCGGCCGCGTCAAGGAGCTCGTCTGGGCCGCGTGGCCCGCTGACCCCGAGTGGCAGGCCGAGCGGCCTCCCGCCCCGAGCTACCTTAGGGTGCTGTGGCTCGGGCGGGTGCTGGTCGACGAGGATACGCTTGAGAGTGAGTTTTTCGTCTGTGCCCAACTTCGTAACTAACGGAGACCGTAGAACTCGGATTCCCCGCACACCTCCCTGCCCCCTCGCCCACCTCCACCTCCGAGCCCGCCCCGCCCCCGCCCGCGCCGACCATCGTGCACCTCTCCATCCGCGTACATGCGCCCCCCGCAGACGACGCATCCAAGCCGAAAAAGCGCAAGTCCGTGCGCCGCGCCACTACGGGGAGTGAGGACGCCCAGGCGGGCGCCGAGGAGGAGGGCGGCGGGTGCTGTTGTGTTGTTTGTTAGGGTTGGCATGGAGTTTTTTTAGGTGGCGGCCATGTATTTGTTCCCGCTCTGCCCGTCTCTGCGCCGTCGCTCGTCGGGCCGCCTCCTCCGCGCCCAACCCCTCTTCCGTGTATATGCGCCGACTCGACCACTCGCACTGCCCCTCCGCCGTGCACATACGCCGCTCTGCTCTGCTCTGCGCATTCACGACCCTTGCACACCGCACACTCCTGACACGATACCACACACTGCCAGCGCTCCCAGAATCCGAATGCCGGTGGAGCGAATGGCGCGGTGCCAATACGGCCCATGACGTCCCCGCCGCCGCCACCGGCAATGGTATCCCCGTCCCGGCGATGGGACGGCCACTCAGCCTCGCCGCACGCCCGTCCATGCCCGCGCATACATATACCGAATACTCACTCGCATCTTCTTCATTCCCCTCTCCCCACCGCATTTTCTCGTCTCATAATACTCACCGCATTTTCATTATCTTCTCACTCACCGCATATGGGACCGTACCGTGCCTTACATACGTTATACCTCCTTATTGGGCTTTTCTTTGGAACATACATACATGACACACGAATATTCTTGATATCCCGCTTTCTCTGGAACACACGATATATATTTCCTCACTGCACGCTCCTCACGACATTGACGTTTTATGATTCGCGGATTTTTGATAATGGGATGTGGATGTCGATAATGGATATTATGGATGGATGGGTGGATCGTGAGTGGTCGCTATTGGGTGGTGAGTGTCGATTTCGGGGGGCCTGGCATGGATGGATGGATGACAGGGCGCTGGCGTGCGATGATTATCGAGTATCTGAAGAGGCTTGTTTTGCGGTTGACTCAGCTGAGCGGGGGTGAAAACGGCGTGTAAAAGGAGAGAAAGAAAAAGAACAGCGTATGTCTCGCCCAGTGGCCTGGCCCCGGGTCGAACAGGGCACTCCCTCATTGATGTGCCGGATAAAAGAACCAATCCCAGAGGACGTGTTACCATTACACTACCAGGCCATGACCGAGTGTGGTGGGGTGGGGTAGGTGGGCTGAATAGAAGTTGACCGCCATTCGAGAAAAAGATCACAGGCGAGGCGGGGATGTTGGCAGGAAGTTCAAGGTGAAGTTGAACTGAAAAAAAAATCATCAGGTGGCTACACGTAATCATCAGGTGGCTACACGTAATTATCTAGGAGGGGATGCGTTATTACCAGGCCTTGCTGGGTACTGGTGGTGCGTGGAGGGTGAGGTTGGACTTGAGAGAGATGAAATTATCCAAAAAGGGAAACAGAAAAAGGTGACGACACTTACGAACGGCCTGGCCCCGGGTCGAACGGGGACTTCCTCAGACTTAGATACTGGGAATGAATTCGGAGAGGATGTGTTACTACCACACTACCAGGCCACAGTTGGGAAGAGTGGGGCGGCGGAGGTTGAGCTGGGTGAATTGAAATGGAAGGAAAAATGAGTTGAGAAGAAAAATAGAAGAATCAGAGGAGGAGGTTCGACCTTTGAGGTCTGACTGCATAAGTATCGAAGTAGGCATACAATACATACAAGCGTGTGAACCTCTGGCAGTGCACCCCGCTCTTGTCTAGTCTTGTTGTGGTCAGGATCTTATTACATAAACATCGGAGTTTCAATTTCCATCTTTGCATAAATTGAGTGCTCAGAATGAGTCCTATATCCGTCCCTGTGCATTCCATCTCTTCAGAATGTCGAGAATTGACCGTGAATGGCGGTTTCGAGCGACCGCCGATAATCTCATGATCCATCGGCCGACGTGAGTAAAAATATTCCACACGGCCCCAATGCACGCGGAAAAAATCTGGGATTTTCCCCAAACCAAGTTATAAGTCAGAAATACCTAGTGAGAGGGTCATCTGGCGAGAAAGCTGAGTTTTATTGTCGGCGAGCGTTTTTACTTGGGAAAAGTTTATGTAATAAGATTCTGACCCGATCGGACCCCCGCGGTAACTAACAGACTTCAACAAGCCGAGGTACGAGGTCGATTTTGTTGAAGCGTCTGTCTACGAGAGACTAGCTCTTGTCGCGCCTACATCAATCAGATCATCTGTGCTTTCGGTTGGAGCTCATCGAATTTGGACGAGCATGGAGCCTAGATTGGGCGAAAGAAAGGCCTTGTGTGAAATAGACGTTGCAAGTAAAAAGATAAACAGAAGAAGAGAGATACTGTCAAGGAAAAAAGACACACATGTATTCAACTCATCACACCTGGCCCCGGGTTGAACAAGTGACTTCCTCCAAACAAAAGAGCGAAAGCGCAATTAAAGAGGATGTGTTGTGGCTACACCACCAGACAGCTGTGAGTGCTCTGTGCGATGCAAGGGAATAGGGAGAGGAAAACAAAATGACGATTATAATCGATTCGGAATCGACCTGGCCTCTTGCCCTCACTGCGTTTTCTGCAAAAAATCCTCACGGTGGATACCCCTATGGATATCACGATATCATCAAGTATCCACCCAGGGGGTTACCTGGGGTATCGCCTAGTGGAAACCAGGGTAGACAGTACCTCTTTCAACCCAGTATCTACCCAGGGGATTGCTGAATATCACCACATATCCATGTGGTATATACCCCAACTATTGACCAGTGGATACACAGTGCATAGTACCTCTTTCCACTTCTATCCGCTGGTGGATATCTTCAGTATCCCGTATCAATCCGCCAGTACGTCCGCTCTTATCCGTATTGATAATCAAGAATTCGGAGATAATCATCTTGATTAGATAGTTAGATACATGTTGCGCCATCACTCTCCCGCCATCACTCCCGCCGTCACTTTTACCATCCCTACTCCAGCCATCGGCATTTCCCTGATGCCCTGCCCACCCATTGCCGGACTTATTCATCACCTGAAGATAGATAATGCTTATTATGAAACAAAGGCTCGCCCATTTGTTCCTCCGAGTCCACACTTCGGGGGTAAGATAGAAAACACAACTGTCGGATAGAGGGGATCGGCTGTGGCGGTGCGGAGAGCCAGAGAATATTCTCGGGCCGGTTTTTGCACTTATCTATGTTTCACCGCCAAGTTCATCTGGTGCGTATGATTGGAAAGGTGAGAGTCTTGTGGGTGTATGGCAGGCATTTGAGTCTGAAATAGACTTAGCATTTTTCCAGTTGTCTTTTAAAGCAGTGCTCACAGAATCCAGCAACTATCCACTGTTGATACGTTCTATGTTCTGGGTGTGGTTGAGTGGATATCTGTGATATCCTGTGTTTGGATACCATGGGCAATATTTGAGGTGTCGACAGTGGTGATATGCTGGTAGATATGTAGTGATAGAGATATGGATAGCTCGGGATAGCTGAGGTATCCATTGTATGTGATATCTAAAGTCGGATATATTCGGATATTGGTGGACAGCGTCGGATATGGGTTGATATCAATGGATACTCAGGGTATCCCAGGGTATCCACCCCAAAGATTTTTTGCAGAAAACGCAGTGCCTGTAAAATCGGACTTGTGGGCATTGATATTTTACATTGTATCGAGTTTGGTGGGATCAATTGCGAATGCGACGGAGTAGGAGAAGGAATTGGTTGCACGTTGAAGTGGAATTCGAAGTGGAATGAAATTGAACCCACGTCCACGGGATCTTCCGGACGGCTTGCGTGCACCCGACCGGCGTTTGTTTTCTTCCCGCACGATGTACCCAACATATGCCCCCAGCTCACGCAACGTCTCGCCCTCTTTTGCGGAAGTTCTCTCGCTCATCTGGTCTTTGCTGGCCACTTCTGACCGCATAAGTACTTGCACCGCAACCGCATTCCGAGCATCAACTCACACCCAAGAGCACCCAAGTGCCGCTCATCGCCGACCGGTCCGAGGGCGCCGGCTCTTCTGGCGTCCAGCTCTCTTCCCGGAGACCGTAGCATCAGCACAGTTTCAGGATGCACGTTAGATGCCATGACTGATAGCGAGTTCCAAACACTTTGGTCTGGTGGTGACACTCGCTTCGACTGGAATGGAATTGGAGCTCGGCCTGGCGGACAGACTGAATCTTTCCTTCTCGTTCACGTCCAATGCACGTTCCGGTTTGACTATGCGCCTCTTCGGGTTCTCGGGCAAAACATCCGATTACGGGGATCTCTTCTCCGCCGCTTTTGAGGGGGATGCAATTATACGAGCGCGAATTCCCCGTGGCCAACCGTTTCCTTTCTCTCTTGCGGGGTTTGGGCTGGACACTAGACGTGCTTCAGCTACAGATCAACTCCAGGGGCCCGCTTTATGTTTGATGGCAATGGCCGCTTCCTTGGTATTGGGAAACATCTCACTAAATCTTCTCGACTTGTCCGCGACGGATTACATGGACTTGTGTCCTACATCTCAGTCTGTTTGAATTTCAATTTTTGCACTTGTATATGCACTCCTCTTTACTATCGAGTATCTCGGGTTACTGGACCAATGTCGTTTCTTATTTGTAGTATGGCGGGAGCTCGATGTTTATTTTGCGAAAAAGATTGCCGGACGCACCACCGCATACACCATGCTTGTTGCTTTGAAAAGGAAGGCTAGAGCCGCCGTTATCAGAATGTGTAAGATTATCTTGAGCGTTGTATGCCCAGTCGATGACGAAACAAGAATGCCAAACTGGGCATTGATTATTGCGCTGACTTGAAAAAATTGAACGCTGCCCCACAGACTGCTGCTGGAAGAGGGAACTGTCAACGAATAGGTTTTCCCATCTCGATCCGTCCAGTTGATTCTGGGTTATCATTTGGATGAATTTGAATGCGAAAATAAACCAACAATGGGACCTACGTGACGGGCATATCAGCTGCTGACGCGGCAGCAGCTGCGTCGGATGTACCAAACATCTGCGTATGTTCATGTTAGACTACCTAAAATCTCCGCCAAAGACGCACCCGTGTATATCCCGACAGGACAAGACTTCCGTGACCCGCCAGACTCAACACCAGTTGGTAGGGTTTTACCGGGGGGAGTTCGATGACCTCAGATAGCTGAACCGTATTGAACCGTATTCGAGACCGTGTTGAGCATCCGCTCGAGCAGGCTACCGCATCGGGAGCGGAAGAAATCCGGATCCTGAGCAAACGACTGCAAGGTTACCTTTCCATCGGCAGCAAAAATCCGAGCGTCCGAGTTGGTCGTCTAATTGAAGCCAACAGCAAGCAGGTGTTCCATTAATCCACTGCGTAGCACTTTGAGTTATAGTCAAGTAAAAACAAAGTCGAACAGTGGGTGCACTCGCATATGGTTATCTAATGAGGCGAAAGTACTGGTGCTTGATGTGCTCCCATCTATTTTGTGCCTCGCATGGTTTCATTCTAGAGAGGTGAATGAAATAAGGAGTCGATATGATGACATCGAAGACACGCGTCGAATTTTTGGTACAAGATCATAATGAGCGAGGAGATGCACAATGAAAATTGAACCTCCATTGAAATCCACGCTTGATTTATTTTTCGATCGGAATAGGGACAAAAGCTGCATATACAACTGGATCTTGGAACGATGAAAGTACTCGCAGATGGCGCTAGGAATCAGGCTACGCGCCTCAATGATAGTAATTACTCGCATAGGGCTTGACGCTCGCCCACGCGGTGTCGAGAACTGTCAGCAACTCTTCCGCTGAAAATCGCGTCAAGCAGAGAAACAGGGGTATTTGGATGAAATCTCGTACGCAGCGGGCCCTTTTCGAGGTCGACGAGATTCTGCAAGTCGGTGTGGTCAGACGAAATTAAACATGCGGAATATATCTTTCCCACCTGCTCGATATGTGTCAAGCTCGACGCGCCGATGAGCACGGCATCGCCGTGCTCCCGCCGCATGAGGCTATGGTGCGAGATCCAGCGCAAGGCGACCTCCGCCATTGTCAGGCCGTGCCGTTCGACGACGGGATGGATGGTTGCGAGTCTGGTCGGAATAAGAAAGGGGAGCCGACCAAAGGCGGGAAAACATACGCGTCGAAATAGGGTTCTTTCCAGTACCTTCTGCGGTAGTTCTGGTAGTGCGCAAACAAGTT